TATGAGTGAATGTGGTCCTGCTAAGAAAACAATTTTTATTGCTATATTATCATAAAATTAGAATCTCAAAATCTGAAAAAATACAAACGGGTTCTTTCAATTTTAGAGACCAATTTAAATATTTGTATTAGAATATTTTTGAACAATAAATTTTGTGCTATTCTTTGGAAAAATAAAATAACGTACCATTTTTATCTTTGAGTACAGTACCATCTTAAACTGGAGATCATAATGAAAATTGCACAAACCAGCAGTACAACTTCTGTTCGTACCAAAAAAATCGTAGATAACTATTTACTATACGTATTTAATCTTTTTATGTAATTTTGTTCGTTATAAGAATGGAAATTATATATATATTGTATTTTATATACATATTACATTATTATATTTATAAACAAATTATATTTATATTGATTTGAAGGGCAAAATTGGTTAAAATGTTCAAATTGTTCAATTTTTTTTAGTGCTGGACAACGTTTCGATTGTACTTGAGTCCTTTTTAAAGCTATGAGTCTCATATGGAAGAAAAATTTCCAATTCATACATAAAAATTGTGATTTATCTAAGTGATATTGTTCCATCTTTGTCTTAAAAAGGACTCTAACAGTGGTCAACACAAAAAATAATTTTCTGTCAACATTGCCCTTCAATTCAATAATGTTTTTCCACAGTTAAAAAGCAGTTTAGAAAGTTTTAGAGGTTTAGAGAAGCAGTTTAGAGGGTTTTTACTGAGGAAACTGTATTTTTGTAACAGATAATTAGTTGTTACTAAATTAATAAATTTTACTTTCAATTTATACCTGATTGTACATTATGACAGCACTTCTGGTATCTTTTATTCCAGAGTTTAAGAGTATAGCCGACTCAACCAATTTCGGTATGTCACTATGAGTACATACTAATTGCTCAATAACGTAATTGTTATTAAAATAATGATTTTTTGAAAAGTTAATTTTATATTTTTACTTACCGGCATATCGTATTTTAATTAAATCAAGTGGATGGAGTAATAAGGTTGACATGGTACCTCCTGCTACTCCAGCAATTAAAAATTCATATTTAAAGTGATTCATTGCAAAAAATTTCAAATTGACAAGCGTCCTGTCAGCATATTCATGATTCAAATAGTGAAAACAAAATTTAAGGCTTAAAATTTGCGTTACGACATCGAACACATAATTTGGTTAGTTATTAGGGTGCCTGTACATGGAAGACCTGATGTTTGGCAACTGCCAGGGGGTGTTTTCCGCAATCGTCACCAGCAAGTAATTTAAGGTTGCGCTCTACGTTACCGTCAGGTCGGTAAGTCAACTACCTTGAATTAAACTGGCGCTCTGTTCCGTAATCTGGCCAGTTAAAACAGCAGACGACAGTCAACAGCGATGAAATCTTCACTTTTTTCTCGACTTTCACGTCGTCTGCTGTTTTAACTGGCCAGATTACGGAATAGAGCGCCAGTTTAATTCAAGGTAGTTGACTTACCGACCTGACGGTAACGTAGAGTGCAACCCACTATTACATTGGGTGTTTTCCGCAATCGTCACCAGCAAGTAATTTAAGGTTGCGCTCTACGTTACCGTCAGGTCAGTTAGTCAACTACCTTGAATTAAACTGGCGCTCTATTCCGTAATATGGCCAGTTAAAACAGCAGACGACGTGAAAGTCAAGAAAAAAGTGAAGATTTCATCGCTGTTGACTGTCGTCTGCTGTTTTAACTGGCCAGATTACGGAGCAGAGCGCCAGTTTAATTCAAGGTAGTTGACTTAACGACCTGACGGTAACGTAGAGCGCAACCTTAAATTACTTGCTGGTGACGATTGCGGAAAACACCCAGGGTCCGTACCATATAACTATTTTGCACCTATTCAGGGCTTGAACGATTTCTCCTTACTTGCGGATTTATCCTCCACTTGAATTTTGATTTGCGGATCAATAGTTTGCGAGATATTTGCAAAATAAAAAGTCGAAAATGGGCGCGGCCCTGAAGTATAAAAAACTTTGCTTTAAGTGCTAAAGTAGGTTAAAATTCAATTCTACCTATATGATTCGATTTCTCCTCATTTGCGGATTACGGAGATATATAAATTTGTGTAATTAAATGTTACAACGTTTGTAAATAATGAATTTAATTATTGAGTAAGAGAATCTAGTAACTTTTGTCTAGTGAATTTTGGTCCAGTGCTCCGTTCCTGTTGTTTGGTACATGTCGTTTCATTATTCTATTAATTATTAGTTATAAGTTATTCAGCCTTCGGGTTAATACACACACACACACATATTTTTTTATGACTATGCAATCTAGTGTAAGCCCATTTAATAAACATTTTTTAAAATTAAGTACTTGTCAATGTATTACTGGCGCTTTCTTTGCATAGGCTCCGTTTGTAGTCTGTTAAGATCACGTGATCATTTATGATAAGTGCGAGTGAGACACTGAGATGGTGACATCATGCTGTCTTTCTCGCACTTATGATAAATGATCACGTGACCTTAACAGACTTAATAACAATTAGAGCCCCAGGCGAACACAGCCTGTGTCACTTTTATCCGTTTCCACTGGTCAGTGGTCGGTAACATGATCTTCAATTCGCCTGATTAATCGTTTACAAGCGCAATTTGAATGCTTAAGCTGTTTTCTAAAACTTGTTCAAACAAAATTATAACTTGTGTGCTTAGCTGTGTCTTGTAATGATTATAGCTGTGCTGCTACTTTTTAGTTGTGTTGTTATTTGTTTCTTGAATCACAACAAATATCAAAATTTCGCGCGTAATGAATAAATATCAGTCCACAGTGTTTGCCAGAATAGATTCAAGATAGTAGATTCTTAAGATAAAAAATCGGTACCTATTGACAAATAAATTTTTCCTTGAGTTTAAAGTATGTAATGTATGTATGTGTGTGTGTATTGACCCAAAATCTGAATAACTTATAACTAATAATTAATAGATTAATACCTACTATAGTTTTCTATTCTGATAAATATTTTGTAGAACCCGCTGTACGGAGGAAACGACGTGTACCTAACAACAGGAACGGAGCACTGGACCAAAAGTAACTAGACAAAAGTTACTAGATTCTCTTACTTAATAATTAAATTCATTATTTACAAACTTTGTGACATTTAATTACATAAATTTATATACCTTCGTAATCCGCAAATGAGAAGAAATCGAATCATACAGGTAGAATTGGATTTTAATCCACTTTAGCACTTAAAATAAAGTTTTTAATACTTTAGCGCCGCGCCCATTTTCGACTTTTTATTTTGCAAATATCTCGCAAACTATTGATCCGCAAATAAAAATTCAAGTAGAGGATAAATCTGCAAGTAAGGAGAAATCGTTTAAGCCCTAAATGAGTGCGAAATATTAATATTTAATATTTCCGGGCGCCAACTTCACAAGTCTTGGAGGTTGGAGGTGGTACTCCGTACCACCTGTGTCTTATCTTACACCATGGTCCAGGCCCTTGCATCGATGTAGGGCATGGTGTAAGAATAGACAGGTGGGCCGAAGGCCCCCCTCTATCGAGTCCAATTTGTGTCGCAGTACATCTAAAATCCGCTAGGTGGTTTCGAGTAGTAGAGGCAGTTTTTATAATGGTCAGTATGACTATATAAAAAAAAAAAAGAAAAAAAAAAAAAAAAATTTTCATACTATCAATGGCCTGCACGACACGGATCCCTCTGGTGGCTAGCATCGGTACTGCGACAAAATTTGAACTTTTTTTACAATGCGTTGAGGTAGGCCTTCGGCCCACCTGTCTATTCTTACACCATGATGTAGGGCTTGCCTGGCTAGGCCATGGTCATAGCATTTAGATCAGATTCTTGTTAGGATGTACAGGCACCCTCAGGTTCGTTCAAGCCCCTTTTAGTTTCGCTTGGTTCTCTTAACAAAATATACTTACATGAGGTGTGTTATGAGATGAGCTTACGCTGAGCTCGACGATACGGAGATACGAAGTAGATGAACACAATGATGAGACATCGAGTACAAAAACCTAGATTTTATTGAAACACTAACAGATACTTAGTGCAAAAATGTTAAACGAATGTTCGTGACTTTGTTTGCAGCGAACGGGCGTGTGCCGCAGTCTACGCTCATCGAGTCGAGATACTCAAGAGCCGCGAGATAAATATAAGGCAGACGTCAGACCACGCTCTTCCTCCTAAAGGTCAGCGTTGGGTTAGGCGGATTCAATACCGGAACTTTTTTCGTCGTCGAGCAGACAGCACAGCAGTGAAGGGGCATTGCCAAAGACACGCGAAAATTAAAAATTGTAATACTTATTATAACACAAGTGCCTATCACTCAATGACTCGGGGCGCTAACTGGCCTCTCTATTAAATAATAAAATATTAATTAACAACACAAGCACCTATCAACTAATGACCGTTGTGCTATTAATTAATTATACATATCGTTTAATAAAGCGACCCGTAAGGTGATAGGCGCTTGTGTTAATAATTAATACTTTATTATTTAATAGAGAGGACAGTTAGCGCCCCGAGTCATTGGGTGATAAGCACTTGTGTTATAATATTACAATTTTTAATTTCCGCGTATCTTTGGCAATGCCCTTTCACTGCTGTGCTTTCTGCTCGACGGAACATTATCCCTAGATCGTATAGCTATATATTCGATCTAGGGAAAAAGTTCCGAAATTGAATCCGCCTAACCCAACGCTGCGGATAACTGTTGTTTCCAGCGCGATTCTTGTTTTGAGAACTGCCTCACCTATATATATATACAGAACCAGTTTTGTTTGGTTCCCTATGCATTGGTATATTTTTTTTAAGAGAACTAAACCAAATTAAAAGTGGCTTGAACAACTCTTTTATGTGAATCTATTTTATTTTGTCAAAGAATATAGAATATTAGATCAATGATGCGTAATTATAGCATCAGAAAAATAACCAGATGACACTTTGTAACATTGCAGTACAAGCGATTTCCAACCTTTCGTCTATTCAAACTAATGCTGCCCATTCATCGAGAACCGAGATATGGGGCGATATAAAAAATTTTTTTTTGCTTGTTAACCAAACTAAATTACGGTTAACAGAAAGCTTACACCTAACGTACATTACAATTATTGCCAGTTGAAATGTTCTGGCTAATTTAAAACACAAAATTATTTAAAAAAATTTTTTTTTTTTTTTTTTAATTAGGCCCTTGCAACTACACAAAAAATTATTAAATTGTAAAAATAAAGTGTCAAAGCAGTTCAGAACATTATATGAGATATACATAAACCCGTGACAACGCTTAAAGTCTAAGATTTTGGTTTTTACAGATGGTCAATATTTAAAGAGGCCGTATCTCCGTAAATAATAAATATAGAGCAAAATAAGCCTTAATTTGGAATCATCAAAATAAAAATTTTTTTTTTTTTTTTTTTTTTT